AGATTTCTCATTTGATAAGTAAACATAATTTACAAAAAAAAGATTCCAATTAAAATATTTTGAATATATAAGTTGTATTTTGAATGTATAAGTTGTATTTAAATATTTAATACACTTTTGAGACAGTGAAAAACATAAATAATTATGCATTTATACATAAATAATTAGAAAATAAAATAAGGTTATTTGATTTCTATCCAAAAAAAAAAAATGCTAGTAATAGGAAGAATCCTGATAGAAAGAATTTTTTAAAATATAATTAAATATTTTTAATCATTATATAAAATCAAGGCAATAACTATTGTATCATTAATATATGTAAGGTGTCAAGTATTGTACATTTGTACTATTGTACATTTACCAAAATTTTATAGAACGACAATCAATTAATGGTGAAATAATATTCAATATACTAAATCCAAAGGACATAAGGAAATAATATTTGATGAACATACATTGTTCTCTTTTAATGCAACGTTTGAAATTTTGCATTATCCACACATATTATTATTTATTTTATTTATACATTATTTAAAATAAAATTATGTGAAATTTTGTTATTTTTGAGACAATATGGACACTTAAAATATTAATGTTTTAATTAAGAGTCAAGGAAATTAAAGATATAAACATAATGTACATTAACAAGTGTGTAACTCCAATCATTGGAATAGAACAAATGAAGTATTAGTAAAATGTACAATGATAAACTTAGCATAAAAAGGAAGCTAAAAAGGGTTAAAAAGAAGGCATCAATATGATTAGTGGCTCGACCCAACTAATAGGCCCAAAATGATAAGTGGCTCGATATGATAAGTATATGGACTTTAACCCATTAATTAGGTGGCTATTTTGTATTGTTCTGGTAAGTTTTGGGATTCGGGTTATATTTAACTATTTTTGTGTTTAAATTCAAAAGGTTTCAATAAGTATATGGTATGCTACATTGTTTTTTTGACAACCAGAAATGCGTAGTAATTAACTTTGCAATACATGTAACCTATTATGTGTTAAGCTTGCCTTTCCTTTTTCAAGCCAAGAGGATAGCTTGTTTGAGCTTCAACAACTTGCTAGCTACTTATTTTTAGGCTCACCATTCACCAATGGTTAGATAGCTATAAGGCATCAACTTTTACAACAAGAAGTCCTCATTTTCGTGCACTAAGTAGCGTTCGGATTACAATTAATAACTCTCTATTTGTAACATCATTACATCAAGTGGACAAAACTAGTGTTATTTCACCTCAAATAACCTTTTTTTTTTTTTTTAAGGCAAAACGGGTGGGGCAAAAATATTAAAACAAACCAACAATTACATCAAGTCTATTTCCGCCAAGGTCAACACACCTTGCGGAAAATCATGCAAAAACAATTGTTCAACCCCATCCTCAGGCAACACCCTAGCAAGTAAATGAGCAAGCACATTAGCATTCCTCTTAAGGTGAAAGCAACGAAAGTAAGTAAAAGCATTCCCAGCCAACACAATGTCCTCTATGATCAAATAGAAAGGTTATCTCCCTTGTTTGTACTGCCGCACTGCATTAACCACTCCAAGCGCATCCAATTCAAGCTCGACTTTGTTGTAGCCCATTCTTGCAGCCATAGCTTCAGCACATTTCACACTGCCCCCACTAGCAACTCTCTTCACTATAGCAGCAATCAGCTTCCCCTGGCTATCACGCAAAGCCGCACCTAAGCCCATCCAATCTTCTGAAATCACAGCACATATGAGTTTATTCTCACCACATCAGCACTAGGCGGAGACCACCTGCAACGCGAAACAACACCTCTCACCCCCATATTACCGCAGACAGAAGCAGCATACTTCTTAAAATCCTCCACCAAACGTAAGTAACCCATAGTTACCACAATATCACAACTCCATGGATTGCTGAAGACAACCAAATTTTGATACGACCAAGCTGTCCACGCAATAGTAGCAAAAGAGATTAAATCATCCTTGCTAACCTTTGATGCAATCCACAAAAATAAATCTTTAAAACTGAACCTACACTACAAGAAAACAGCTCAATTCCGACGGAAACATTAAAAAAATCCGTCGGAAAAGGCCTTTCTGACGGAATTTTGTCGGAACAAGTCAATCGCAACGCCCCTTGTCGGAAAATCAACGTTTTCCGAGGAAAATTCCGTCGGAAGACCACTTTCCGACAAACTTTCCGACGGAATTATGTCTGTCGGAGCTGATTTTGACTTAAATTGAGAGTCCGTCGCAATATTCTGACGAAGTTAATTCCGTCAGAACTTTTAGTCTTCTGACGGATTTATTCGTCGGAACATATACGCTTCCGACGGAAAATTCCCTCGAAATTTCTTACTTTCCGACGGAATTATTCATCGGAATAGTATTTCTTCCGACGGATTATGTTGTCGGAACATAATATCTTCCGACGGATTTATTCGCCAGAATGCGTACCCGTCCGACGGAATATGCCGTCGGAAGCGTATATGTTCCGAAAAATAAATCCGTCGGAAGTAAATCTGTTCCGACAACATATTCCGTCGGAACAATCCTGTTTTATAAGCAAAAATTAAATTATTTAATTTCATTTTGCTCACCTATATCCTGCACCTAATTTGTGTTAATTTTGAATTGACGATTTAAATACGAAAATATTTTCATATATATATTAATAATAATATTAATGTATATATTTTAATTTGTGCAACTATACAACATAATTTAAAACTAAATACATGTCCAATTTTGTACGCAAATTCTAAGCTACAATTGGAGTACCTATCCCTGCACCGCCGCTAACCAGGTCGTCGTTTGTGGGGTCTCGACGCTGATGTGGAGTGTTGGAACATGAGTCGTTGCTGGAGAATCGACGCATCATCTCTTCATACCTCTCTTGGTTTCTCCTTTCTATTTCGGCCAATCGAGTCTCCATCTCGACTTCCATTTCACTCCGTATAGCTTGCACCTTCTCCTCCAACCTCTACTCCACCCTCTGGTCCATCTGATCCTACATCTGGGAAAAAAAGGAAGGCGTGTACTGCTGGGAAGACTTGGAACCCTTCCGGCTGCCGTAATACAACTCCGCACCTTGGCCAAGTCCCTTCACACGACCCTTCTTGTTTCGACCACCTACAGTTTCCCAGTACAACTCATTTGAACTCTTCTGAATCCCTCGGGTGCTTGCTTCTTCAACTTTCTTCTGGTAGGCCTCCTACAAGATAGACATATGGAAAGTTGCACAAATTAAATATGTAAGTTAAAATCAAAATTCTTTGCCTATTTTCTACATTTCTTACTAAATGAATCATTTCTTTGTCATACCATGTTTATTATAGATAGTTTTAGATGTATATGCCTTGAAATCACAAAAAAAAACCGAGACCGTAAGTTTTAGGGACGATTTTTGACTCATATAGAACGACTTGAGGCCAATATGACGTATCCTTTGCCTATTTTCTACATTTCTAACCAAATGAACCATTTCTTTGTCATAACATGTCTATTATAGGTAGTTGGGGTTGTATATGCCTTGAAATCACAAAAAAAACCAAGTCTCTAAGTTTTGGGAGCGAGTTGGACCAAAATTCAACCAATTGAGGCCTATATGACCTATCCTTTGCCTATTTTCTAAAGTTCTCACCTTATGAACCATTTATTTCTCATAACATGAATATTATAGGTAGTTTTAGGTGCACATGCCTTCAAATCACAAAAACAACCAAGTCTCTAAGTTTTGGGACCCTAAATGACCAAAATCCAACCAATAGACCCCTAAATGACCTATCCTTTGCCTATTTTCTAAAGTTCTCACCTAATGAACCATTTCTTTCTCATAACATGCATATTATAGGTAGTTTTAGGTGCACATGCCTTCAAATCACAAAAACAACCAAGTCTCTAAGTTTTGGGACCCTAAATGACCAAAATTCAACTAGTAGACCCCTAAATGACCAATTCGTTGCCTATTTTATAAAGTTCTGACCTAACGGACCATTTCTTTCTCATAACATACATATTATAGGTAGTTTTGGGTGCACATGCCTTCAAATCACAAAAACAACCAAGTCTCTAAGTTTTTTCTTATAACATGCATATAATAGTTGTAGGTGTTATTGAAGTTAATACCGCAATATGCTGTGCTTTGGTGTTGGCTGGTACCGTGCCTTTCCCAGGCACTTCCTTGAAGTGCGTCTTCATAAACAGATTATGAGATGTTGGGAGCTTCCCTTTATTCTTCGCCGCCTTTGATTATACATGCATAAAATGATAAACTTTAAATGTTAGAGCTCCTGTACAAAACAATAAACCCGACTCTCCAATTTTACAAGCATATTCAACAAACTTACCATTCGTTTAGCATGTTGTACAGCTGACATCAAACCCTGATAGTGGGTAGCTTCAACCGGATTTTCCATTGACCCACCCCTCTTGTTCTTCTTGTTTTGGGACGACCTTGCCTTGAAAGTTGGATCGGTGGCAACAATATCCATCATCTACTTGTGGACGTCCTCAATGAGCTAGGCTGGCCTTGCGCCTCTCATCTTGTGCGTGACTGTGTAGAACATGTCACGCAACCGAGTAGCAAGCTTATTTTCAAACGTGTGCTTCACATCTGCGGTCAACTGAGGTGCCCACGTGAAATCCTTTTGCAATTGATAAACGTTATGTCATATGTTCAACTTCAGCTCAACATTTTTAAAAAACATGTTTTCAATTAAGTTTATAATAACTTACGCAGAATAGGTTCCACCAATGTTCCTTGGTTGCTGCATCCACCTCGCCGTAATTCCTCCAAGGCTGTCGATAGTACCCGGTTATCGCCCCGGATACCGCAGTCCTGACCTGGTTGTCGTCAAACCTACATGTAATGAGGAAACCACAAAGTTAGATGATCATGAACTACACGTATTGAAAAACTTGTTACAGGTAATAAATAGGTTCTTTTCTTAAAAAAATATTCAAATCCCAATTCACAAAATGTATGTACGTACCAGAGCACAGTAGGGTCTAATACCGGCAACTATGAACGCTCCTGTGTCTGACCTCGTGATGAGCTGGAAGTCGGCTCTTGAGTATTATCCAAATTTTGTGCATCCTCAATGTCATCATCTGAAGAGTCGATGTGCATTCTTCGTTTACCTGTGTCTTTACTGCCCACCATGATCACCTGAAATTGTTGATAATAACATTACAGCATATTATTTTCTACAAGGGACTCGGGCAATGCAATAACATTTCAGCGTACAAGTAATGATCGATTTATTAAAAGACCAATTCATTTGTCTATTTTACAATAATAAGCAAATTCAAAGAAGAAGAGTAACATATTCCCCTATTCATTAATGTCATCACTACTACTATCACTATTGGAATCATCACTACTATCATCTAATAATACATCGATATCATCATCCTCGTCACTATCACTGGAGTTGATGCTAGATTCATCATTTTCATCGCTCGAGATAACAAAGTCATCATCATCTTCCTCATCATCATCATCTTGGACATAGTCTGGAATATCATTTGGTGGGCAAAGTGTTGCATGTAATTGTGGGGATGGTGCCTGCAAGAACTCTAAGTCCACCGGAGCATCAACCACTGATCTTGCTTGTGTTTTAAAAACAACCCACCATTGTATTCGATCCCGTTTCAGGCTAGGGTATGATGCGTAGAACACTTGAGTCACTTGGTAAGATAAAACAAAGGGATCATACTTGGGTATTTCTTAGTATGATTCACTTCGACAAGCTTGTACTGTTCATGTATGTTCATTCCCCTACCACAATCCATCCAACTACACTTAAAAAAAATAGTCTTGTACTTTTTTTTGGGACCAGTGTAGACCAGTTCAATAATGTCGTCTAAAATGCCGCAGTACTCTCCACCATCCTCACTTGATACACACACCCTGTAAGTCATCGTAGATTTGTGCTTGCCATGGGTATATGTATGGAAATTAAAGCCACCGACAAAAATCTGCTTCCAAGTTCAAACACGCTTGAAAGGGCGCATGCACAACGCTCGCAGCACATCCGAGTTTTGTTCCTCCTCAATAACCTATAAACGTTTTGAATATAACCGTCACACTTCCCTAAATGAGTAAAGTAAATAGCAACGAATAGTAAATCATAATTATCCTACGTTTAGACAGTGGACATCACCTTGCGATGAAACTAATCAGGGAATTCAGCTTCGCATTTCTCCATTACTTCTTCTCTACGCAGATAAGGTCGAGTACTAAGGACATAGTCCTCAAACTTCCTACGAGGCCAAAATTAATGTAAATCAACATTGTAACCATTTCAGATGATCATAGCATCCAACTACACTTCATTACTAAACTATGTTATACCTTTCGTATTCACCAAGAATTCCGGTGGTTCGTAACACGAACAGATGAGCACAATCCAGTTCTTTTTCATCTAAAAACCGAGTTTTGCCCTCAGTTGACACACGACCGCTATCCTCCTTGAACAACTCTGGAATTTCAGTGTCGTCCACTGTGGAGTCCACGTCGGCATTCACATTTCGACCGAGATCTCGTGTTTTATTGTCGACCGTCGCCTGGAAGTAGTTACTGCAGAAGTTTGCTATCTATTCGGTGAGATAAGAATTGCAAATGGATCCTTCAACTCGAGCCTTGTTTCCAATTTTTCGTTTAAAATAGTTGAGGAACCTGCAATCATATTTATGTAAATATATAAACACGACATGACATTGAATTTGATGTAAGAAATAGGATGTGCATGGGTCTTTGATTTACCTTTCGAACGGATACATCCATCTATATTGCACAGGACCACATAACTTCCCTTCATATGGAAAATGAATAGGTAAATGCTCCATGGAGTTAAAGAATGCAGGGGGAAAAACCTTCTCAAGCTTGCACAGTATCTCAGCTATGTTATTCTCCAATCGCTCCATGTCACTAACCGTTGTTGTATAGCAACACAAATCGCGAAAGAATTGGCTGATCTCTGTTATTGCATTCCAAACATGGCAAGGGAGCAATCCCCTCAGAGCAGTAGGCAACAACCTCTCCATGAACACGTGACAGTCATGGCTTTTCATTCCGTGGAGCTTACATGCTTGCAAATTGACGCATCTGCTCAAATTGGAGGCGTAACCATCAGGAAACCGCAGCTGTTTAACCCACTCACACAAAACTTTTCTCTGAGCCTTGTCAAGAGCAAATGGAGCCATTGGCATGAACTCTTTTCCCCTATCATCCTGCTGAAGATGAAGCTGCGGACGTTTACAATATTTGGCAATGTCATTTCGAGCGGATGGCGTGTCACACGTCTGCTTTTTCACATCCATTACAGTGTGAATTAACTGATCAAAGATGTTCTTTTCAATGTGCATGACATCTAGGTTGTGACGAACAAGCAGATGCTTCCAACATGGAAGCTCCCACAGTATGCTTTGCTTGAACCACCCCTTCTTTTCTTTTTTGAGGCGTTGAAGTGACTCGGGCCCATATGTAGCCTTCGGAAGGTCTTTCACGCATTCCCACAGCTCCTCTCCTGACATAATGTGTGGAGGGGCACCCTTTTCGACTTTGTTTCTACAGAACGCAGTTCTACTATTCCGAAAAGGGTGATTCGTCGAAAGGAACTGGCGGTGGCAATCAAACCAAGACACCTTACAACCGTTTTCTAGCCAAAATGCTTTGCTTTTGTCCATGCAATATGGACAAGCTTTCTTACCAGATGTGGCCCAACCAGACAACATACCGTAAGCCGGGAAGTCACTAACGGTCCATAGGATGGCTGCTCGAAGATTGAAATTCTGTGCACCAACTTCCCACAACTGTTTCAACTCCTCAATCAACGGTTGCATGTACACATCCAAGTTGCCCTTAGGATTTTTAGGACCAGGAACGAGTAACGAAAGGAACATAAATTGTCTTTTCATACACATTGAGGGAGGCAGGTTGTAAGGGGTCAAAATGACAGGCCAACAAGAATATTGTCCCCCAAACTTGCCATAAGGAGCAAAATCATCTGTACACAAACCAAGCTGAACATTACGAGGCTCGGAGGCAAACTCTGAAAGCAGTTGTCCAGGTGTTTCCAAGCTTCACTATCACTAGGGTGTGCCATAGTGCCTTGCACTCGAGGATTTTTCGAATGCCATGTCATTTCCTCCGAAATAGTCTTGGTTGTAAACAGCCTTTGCAACCTGGGTGTGATCGGGAAATAAAACAAAACGTTCAAAGGCACTAGGCTACCCTTGGAAGTTTGCTTGTATCGATCGCTGCCACACGCCCTACATGTAGATAGTTGGGCATCATCCTTCCAAAACAACATACATCCCTTCGGACTAGCGTGAATCCTTTCATGAGGCAGTTCCAAGCCCTTCACAATCTTTTTCACCTCATAGAATGTGTCGACAATTTGATTGTTGTTAGGAATTGCTTCACTGAGAAGTGAAACAAACCCATCGACACATTTGTGGGGAAGATTATACTCGCACTTTAGACTTGTGATTCTAGCGGCCATCTCCAACACAGACAACAAACTCCCTTCGTATAATGGCCTTTCAGAAGCCTTCAACAAATCTAGAAAATGCTTAGCTTGGGCATTAGGCTCCTCCTCTGATGAAACACTAGCCTGCTCGGGATGCCCTTGATCCTGACTTTGACCAAACGCATCGTAAACCAATTCACGATATTCGTTGGACCCACTTGCAGGAACTGTCAGAAACCCTTCCCCGTGACACATCCACTCATAGTAATTAGGTACAAAACCCACGCAAAACAAATGAAGTTTAACCGTATCTGGCTCCCAAAGCCGTTTGTTCTTACATTTAGCACATGGACACCTAACTTCATTGGGGTTATTACTTTCGGGATTATCTTTGACGTATTTCATGAATTCATCAACCCCTTTCACGAACTCTGGATTAACATATGGCCCAACCTTCCTTTCATACATCCAGCCGCGTTCTGTTCGTTTCATGATTACAACTTCTACACAACTCACGCATATTAGTCACAAAGCGTACTTCCTAATCATTATCCATCAAAGTGTTATGAAAATGCAAATGAGATATGAAATGCTTCCAAAGGGTCCTTATCACTCCAACCTAACCCATCCTTGTACGTTTAATCCCACTAGTGAATGTAAGCCAGGTTTTCAATTCTACGGAAAATCCGCTAGCATTTCCCTACAGTTCTCCAAGTATACGATGTAGGCAATTAAACATACCTACATATGTACCCAGAGAACACTGTAGAGAAATGAAAAGACACGATTTTCCGTAGAATCAAAAGCAAGGCTTACATTACCACCTAAGTGAGAATAAGCGTACAAGGACAGTCCCAACCGGGGACTATTCAAGACATACTCCTATTGTGTATGCCTTGAACGAGTATCTGGGAAAATAATTATGCAAATGATTCATTTATTATATATATATATAAAGTGAAGGTCACATGCATTATACTAAACAGAGATTTATCATAATTAAACTAAACTAAGCAAATAAATTAGCACAATTACTAAATATTATATTCAACATTATATCAAACAAAAATATTAAACTAAATACACTAACAAACACTACATTAAACTAAACTAATGGTGAAATAAACAAAACTAAAATAAACTAAACTAACATACATTATTATAATGAACTAAACCAAACTATGTTAACATGTTATAATACAACAATTAAAAACTAAACTTAAATAAACTAAACTAAACTAACATATCATAACACAAACACATTCATTTCAAATATTTCAACATATTAAAATATAAATAGAACAGATTGTATACACTACACAAAAAACAATAATAAACTAACATATATCTAAATACATTTATCGACTAACATGCCAAGTATAAACTAAACTTATAATTTTTGGTTTTATATAGTCTCTAACCTGTAGATCTGCACTTATTATTGCCAAAGAACCAAGGAAATCTACAAATCCTATAAAAAATTCAAATTAAACAATTAGGAACTAAGTTTGTGCTGCCTATGTATATTAAAAAACGAATAAATGCTATAAAGTTATAATGAAAAAAAAATAAAAAAATTGAAACACAACCTGTTGTCGGCAGTGGCTGGGCGTCGTTCTGGTTGCAAACCGGCGGCCGGCTGGTGTCGTGGTTGTGGGGGTGGTGGTTGTTAGTAGGAATTCCAAAACAAAAAAAAAATTAAAAATACATCACAAAAAACCCCAAAATAGTTAATTTACAAAAAAAAAAAAAAGGATAAACACTTAACACTATCCAACGACGCATTTTTTGGTGAATTCCGGTCAAGCCTTGGTGTTTGTGGTGAAATTCGGCGTTGCTAATGGTGAATTCCAGCAAAGCCTAGGTGGTGGTTAGGGTTTTCCGCAATTTTTTTTTTAAAAAAAAAAATTACAAAAAAACCAGACTTACCTATACCAGCGACGTCCAAGCGGCGGCTGGTGGTGGAGTAGAGGTCTCCTTCTCCCTTTCTCCTTCTCTCTTTCTCTCTCTCCCTTTCTCTCTCTTCCTCTTTCTCCCTTTCTCTCTCATCTTGTTTGGTTTTGTTTTCTGTCGCAAAAAACGCTAAAAACTCAAAGTTTTTTTTTTAATTTGTTGTAACGTTCCGACGGAATTAATTCCCTCGGAATTAACCTCTTCCGACGGAATATTCCGTCGGAAATATTTTTCCGTCGGAAGAAGTTAGTTTAAAGGGAATTAAAATCCGTCGGAAGTATGCCAACGGACTTTTCCGTCGGAAAATTCCTGTTCTGACGGATTTTTCCTACAAATCCAATTTCCGCCGGAAATTTTGAATTTTCCGAGGGAATTGCAGTCCGTCGGAATTTAGCCTATTTCTAGTAGTGCTAGGAGCATCTTGGAGCAGAGAATAAAAGGAGGACGTTTCCCAAATGCGTTTCACATTTTGAAAGAAGAAAATAGCATGGCAGA